TCTCTGTCTGTCTGCCTGTCTGTCTGTCTCTGTCTTGTGTGCATTATGTGCAACAGCATCTTTCTTTCTATTCGTGTAAGTGAAGATGGGAATTTTGGCATCAAGTCCGTCCAGAGGAGGACACCCAATGAAAATCAACATTTTGGGGACTTTGGAGGTTTCATCAAAATTCTAAACAAAGAGCCGAAATCAACTAAACCTCTAAATGTAGGCTGCTCTGCTTTTGGCAGGGTTAGGGTTTGCTTCATGGCGTCGTTGCATCAGAGGTACCACACTCTCTAAATTAAAATAAATGATGTGATGAAATACATCAATGCTTGTTTTCAATATCACATTCATTAACACACTCATAAGGTCATGGTGACCTCGTTTGTCTGGAAACTGTATTTACAGAACAACAAACTGGTCTTTTCTAATCAGCTTCACTCTGGACATTTAGCATTTAGCATTAGATTCCAAGCCTGACAGAGTGAGACACATGACAGAGAGACAGAGAGACAGAGTGAGACGCATGACAGAGAGACAGAGTGAGATGCATGACAGAGAGACAGAGTGAGACGCATGACAGAGAGACAGAGTGAGACACATGGCAGAGAGACAGAGAGACAGAGTGAGACACAGAAAAGAAAGAGAAGAAAGAGAAAAAAGAGACTGGACATTGCTGCCACTTTAAGTTAAGATGGTTGAATTTATGTTTGATCCTGACTCAGTGAGAAGACACATTTTATTTTTTATCTTTCATCACTTTGCTTTGGCAGCTCTGATGTGTCTCTGATATCTGAGCCAACATCTTGTTATATGAAACAATACAATCGAATTATTATTGTTTTTATTCTTCCTCTGTCTGTCTGTCTGTCTGTCTGTCTGTCGGGCAGTTGTCCTCCAACCGTGTAATAATAATAACATTATCTGATTCTATGTGGTTTGACCTGTTCCCTGTCATTAAACAGTCAGATTTGTGTGTGAACGAAACTTGGTTTTCAGTGTCCCTGCAGCTTATCTGATGGTTTGTCCCTCTTGTCACAGGAAGTGAAAACACCTGTAGAAGAAGAGCTGTCCAACTCAAGTCCCCAGGCTGCACAGAGGGCAAGGAGCTGTGTGTCCGTTCCTTCATCATCATGTGCACTTCACTGAGCCCCGAACAACACACGAAACGAGAGGACCGGTTCTCAAGATATCAGAGACACAGGCGGACAGATGGACGGACAGGTGGACAGACAGACACACAGAGATTTCTGGATCCAGTAGATGTTTGTCGGATGTTCTCTGACTGCATTTCTTCTTAATCCTCCAAAACAACATCCCTTTGTCCAGAGATTCAAGACAGGAATCCAGCCTCCTCAGTTAATTAGAGCACGAGCTGCTTCTCATCACTGAAACCATCACAGTTAAAGTGCCCAGACACTTCACACACGTTTAACTGTGCTACTCTTCAACTAAACCTCTAAATGAAGGCTGCTCTGCTTTCGGCAGGTGGAGGTCCCACACTCTTAAAGCTCCAGTGTCAGATTCAGGTGAAACGATCTATTGGCAGAGATTTAATGTAGAATAATCCTCATGATGTTTTCACTAGTTTGTTTTCATCTAAAATGTTTGAATTGTAGTTTTCTTTACCACAGAAAATACCCTTTATATTCAAATACTTTATATTTACAGGGAGGGGACCCTCTCTGCGGAGGCCTCCATGTTTAGCATTTAGCATTAGATTCCAAGCCTGACTCCAGTGCTTTTTGATTCCAGGTTGAAATAATTGTGTCCCAGAGGTAAATTGATATTTCAGGACAAAAATGTAAAAATACAACTTACAACCTCAGCAGGTTGAGAGATGCAGGGCAGAGACACAGGGTGAGACGCAATGTAGAGACACAGGGTGAGACGTATGACAGAGAGACAGAGTGAGACGCATGGCAGAGACACACACAGAGTGAGACATGAAGAAAGAGAAAAAAGAGACAGACACATTTTATTTTTTATCTTTCATCACTTTGCTTTGGCGGCTCTGATGTGTCTCTGATATCTGAGCCAACATCTTGTCATATGAAACAATACAATCAAATTATTATTGTTCTTATTCTTCCTCATACTTTGATTCATGCCACTAACATCTCACAAGGGGCGGAATTACGAGTTCCAGTAAATGATGGTGAGTGTGCTCTGTCTGTCTGTCTGTCTGTCTGTCTGTCTCTGTCTGACTCTCTATCTGTCTGTCTGTCTCTGTCTGACTCTCTATCTGTCTGTCTGTCTGTCTGTCTGTCTCTGTCTGACTCTCTATCTGTCTGTCTGTCTGTCTCTGTCTGTCTCTGTCTGTCTCTGTCTCTCTATCTGTATGTCTCTATCTTTCTCTCTCTCTCTGTCTCTGTCTCCAAGCTTGACTCCAGTGCTTTTTGATTCCAGGTTGAAATAATTGTGTCCCAGAAGTGAATTGATATTTCAGGACAAAAA